GTTTTAAATTAATTATCTTTTTTATTTTTTAAGATAAATAAATATTTTTTCTTACTTTAACCCTATCATTATTCATTTATTTTGATTAATTATCCTATAAAAAATTTGTAAATCATTAATTTGAAGGAAAAGTCAAAAGAAAACCATTATTATGATATAAAGAGAGTATAAAATGATATACTAAATATATTTTAAATCTGTACCTTGATTGCATAAATTAAAAAAATTATTCTTTTTATGTAAAAAATTAGTTATTTACTCTTTTTGTCCTTAAATAATTGTCATTTTTTATTTATTTTTTTAAAATTAAAATTTTTTAAAAAATTTATAAATTTACCTATATTATTTTTAGAAAAAACTAAACAATAAAAGTGAGACTTTTTGTAACATGATACATAATTAATAAAAATAAATGAATAATGATATAGAATTAAAATAAAAAATATTTACTTTTCTAAAAAACTAAAAATAATTAATTTAAAATAAATTTAAAATAAAAAAATAACATGTAAGAGTTCGAACATCTAATTATCATCCTAAATTAATGATTTTTTTAAGGTAATAATACCCCTAAGTACCAAACCAACTCAAATCAAGCGTTGTCGGTGCCTCAAAACTCAAAAGTTTAAATACAATTTTTTGTCTTTTAAATTTTTTGAAAGTTTGAATTGAGCCGAGGCTTTTATAGTAGATTTTTTTAATTAAAATTTTAAATTAAAAATTTATATCAATTTAAAAAATTTTAATAATTACTTTTACTTACTTTGCTTTAAAATAATAATTATTTTTTATTATAAATTTATTTTAAATTAATTATTTTTTTTATTTTTAAGATAGATAAATAATTTTTTTATATTTTAATCTGATAATTATCTATTCATTTTAGTTAATCATCAATTATAAAAAATTTCTCTTTATTATTTATTTATTTTTTAAAATATTATAAATAAATGTAAATATTATCCCTAAGTTTTAAATAAAAACGAAAGGTAAAAAAGCGATTATTATTAGTATATAATTGAGTCCACCAATAGCCACTTGTTCAATTAGAGAAAGCTGCAGATCGAGGAAGA